CTCCGGGCCCCCTCTCCCCGCAGGCCACGTCCCCTTCTCCCTGGCTCAGCCCCAGCCACCTCCAGGCGCTGGCGGGCGCGGAGGGCCACCCCCGGCGGGGGCTTCATACGGGGGTGGTCCGGCGGTTGGCTGTGTTGGTGTGAAGAGAGTCCTTGTTCTCCTTCTGGATACAGTTGTGAACTTGAAGGAAGCTGTTATCCCTGTCGGAGTTGTAGGTGGCGGTGGGCGTGGTGGCGGCCTTCAGGGGGTCCCTACTGAGGGTGTACATGGAGATCTCCGTGGACGGCAGGGTGTTGAAGGCCTTGATGCCCACGGGGGAGGCGTCCCTGGAGTGTGAGGGCTCGGTGGAGCGGGAGCTGGAACGGCTGCGGCGCTGGTAGCGGTAGCGGTAGCTGGGGATACGGGTGATGGCAGAGGCCTGGAGGTAGTCCGTGGCGCGGGCGGTGGCCCGCAGCTGTTTGTGCCGATCGATGAACATGTGGACGGCCAGCACTCCGACCATCTCGGCGATGATGAAAGACAGGGCCCCGAAGTAGAAGGACCAGCCGTACGAGTAACTATTCTTTTTGGAGTCGCTCTTGGAGGGGTCTCCGGCGTTGGCAGATATGTACACTATGATCCCAATGATGTTGCTCAGACCTGCGGGGCACAGGGTGGGCACAGAGGCCGGTGGGGCAGACAGGAGGCCTGTTAGTGTCTGGGGAGGACATCGGGCACCAGGCAGCCAGTGTCTTCCTGGTGAATGGTCTGGCTTCTACAGAGTGACACGGGCAGGTGTCACCTTAAATATTTTATCATTCTGTTTAGAGGGCGCCACAAAGGGAAGTGCTTGTGGAAGAAGATATGGGAAGAGGGAGGCATTCTACAACGTAAGAGTAATAGTAGCCATATCAAGCAATAATAACAGCTATTGTTTACTGAGGGAGCTCTGGTAGCGTAGTGCCTAAGGCATTTGACTGCTAACCAGAAGGGTGGTGATTCAAACCCACCAGCCACTCCTCAGAAGGAAGGTTGGACGATCTACTTCCGTAGTGATACTGCCCTGGAAACCCAAGGAGGGGTCATTATG